CAAAACAAGGCATATGACTCAGAGCATTAGCAGTAGCCATCACTTGAGGATTGAGGTGTTCTCTGCCTGCCTCTGTCAGACGCATGCGATACCTGAAGCTTAGAAGCACAGGATCAGGACATGGCACCTGTGCATAGCCTGACACCCTGAAAAGCCACATCCTCCATCAGCATCCCTTGAACTCAGTGTGTGACAGGCACCTGTATGTCAAGCCCATCATAGTTCTGTGCCTTGATTTTCAAAGGGAAATTCTGCCTTTTCTCTTCAGACTGGGTGCTATGGCAGAAGATCCTCTTTTCCTCTGTGTGCACACTGGTGCCAGCAGCATGGCTTCTGGAATTTGGAAAAGAAAATGGGGGTATAAGCTTTGGGACTGATGTCTTAAGAAAATAAACTTTGTGTGATGCTGTTCCTTATAACAGAATCTGTTACATATTTGCTAACAAAGTACCAATACTTCATTGTTACTACTTATCTGAGTCTTGTAACCTGTTAAACAAGACTATAAATATACTCATCAAGAAATAGGCTGAAGTTAAATGTTAAATAGTTACAAAAATAAAGAAAAATGTTTCTGATTAATTTTCTTTGTCAAATAGTAGCCTGAATGGTATTGAAATTTGTTACTTAATCAAAGAACTGTCTAAACTGTGTGCAATCATGTTTTAAAAAATTAGAACACAATTTGCCCAGAAGATAAATAATTATGGTCCAATTTTATAACTGTATCTTCAATTGTTAGAACATACTTTAAATAGGAGCAAGTATGTAGCAATTAATTATATCTTAGAAGATTATTCTTAGCTCATTGTAGAGCTTTATTATTCACTCTTGAAAAAAAAATCTCCGTAAAGGCACAGCACGATTTTAATTAATTTTTTCTGACTGTTTAATTTTTAACTTTTTCCCAAAGTGTTTAATTTTTAAACATGAGCTCTGCTAGCTACATATTTCATTCTTACCGTCATATCTCTTAAGCAAGAAAAATAAAGTTAAATAAATTGGATCAGTATTCAAATAAAAGCCATTTAAAGTTACGCTTTCAAAAGTTAATCTTTATTTTTATTCTTCTGAAGTATCCATCAATCATATTAGCTCTTTAAAAATGAGAGCAGCCTAGAAAGCCCAGATGAAGCTTAATATAACAAGGGGATACGTTCTGCAGTGTTATTAGGTGTTATGGCTTACTACCTAAGACATACTAAAACAGTGGTAATTTTATTCACTTGATTCAGTTAATACATGGGACAAACATTTGACATGTTGATGTACTGCCTTGGAACTGCAGTTTTAGAAAAACATTTTCCATGAAGCTATAAAATTAAAAAATCTGTAGACTGGGGAGATTTCACATGTTTAGATAACAATGAAATACTGGCCCGTAATCATTGGAGAAAAGGGAAAGCAAAAAAATCCCCATAAATGGAGAAAATTCAATTAGAGAGCTCTCTGTTGAGGCAGTAGTTAAAAAAGAAGTTACTTTTGAGGTATTTGCATTTTCATAAAGAATTTTCATTTCCACAAGAAGAACCCTGCTCTTTACAGTCCTGATTATAGGCCTCTCACAGGAGTAATTTGTAGCTTTTCGCAGCTGTAAGTTTTGTAGTTTCTGAATATACGTCTTTTTCATCAGTGTTGTTTTGATGTCTTAGTTTGTAGATGATTTTTTTTCACATTGTCCTAATGACTTAGCTGATAGATAGAGACCTTCCCTGGAGCAATTGGTTGAATGACATTGAGTAGATCTGTTGACACTGCAAGTATATTATTACCTATGGGAATGGGCTCAGTGCTATCATATGTCTTAACTCCTCCTTCCTTCCCAGAGCATTCAAATGATCCTGTGCTTAGTGACTGCACTACTGCTAAAATCACTACCGTTTGCACTTAGAACATAAAAAGGTGAGAATGGGCTGGGAAAGCTTGTTGAATTGAGATGTTTTACTGTAAATTTCCAAGACTGTAAACCTCACAAGTGAGGAATGATGACCTTTCTGGGGTTAGACATCCTCTTCTAGGTACCTCTGCTGCTGACTCTACTAGCCAAACACAAAGTGGCAGTCCTTCCATCTGAAGTAATGGGACAATCGACCAAAAAACATAATTACCTTTTCCAGGTGACTTATAGTTCCCTAAAGTATCTATTGGCTGGATCACCATTCTTGCAGTAAACCAATGTTGTGGTTTAAACCTAGCCAGACAGCTTGTTCACTCACTCCCAGTGAGTGGTGCTGGGCTGGAAGCAATCGAGGCCTCCCCCCCCCGCTCCGGGGGCTCTCCCCTTCCCCGCTCCTGGAGGGATGGGGAGGAGGATCGAACGGAGGCAACTCCCATGGTTTGAGACAAGAACAGTCCAGCAACCAATGTACAACACAAATCACCACCGCTACCACCAGCGACAACAATGATAAGAGAAAATAACAAGGGAAGAGAATAAGATGCCACCTGCCAAAAAACGAGTCTGACCCAGAAGACCCCGTGTCCTTCCGGGTAACTCCCAGTTACCCCCCACCCCGGGCATGATGTGCTGTGGTATGGAATACCTCTTTGGCTAGCCTGGGTCAGGTGCCCCGTCTCTGCTTCCTCACGGCTTCCCCTCCTCCCTAGCAGAGCATGAGCCTCACAAAGTCCTTGGTCAGGGTAAACATCACTTAGCAACAGCTGAAAACATCGGTATCACCAGCACTGTTCCCAGGCTGGAAGTCAAAACACAGCACTGCATCAGCTACCAGGAAGGAGAAAAATTGACTGCTACTGCTGAACCCAGGACAACCAAAGATAATATTTCTGCCAGCAAAACTCAGAAGGAACTATGTGTGCTTGTAAAAAACTGATTTAGTGTTCAGGTGTCAAGATACAAAGTCCTTCCTTCATTGAAATAGGGCTTGACTGAGTTCAGTTGCCCTTCATATTCAGATATTGTACATATGATAAGACACATTTGGGGCAATGGGTTGTTTGGTCTGACCGTCAGGATAGCATCCCTTAGTCCTTTTGATTTAGCATATGCTCTTATGGCTGCTGTCAGTGTATTATATCCCAAGTTAAAAGCAAATAAAGGACATAAAGGAAGTTGTGCTTTAAGGACAAATAAGCCAGTGTATCACAAAATCAAGGCACTATGATAATGAATATCACTTTCAGCTTCTATGCAGTGTACATGTATATACACTGCATATTTATGTAATTGTAATTAATGACTGAAGTTTTGAGAGAGTTGCAGTTATTTAAAAAACTTTAAGCCTCATTCTGAGTTAATGTAAGCTAACACAAAGGCAGCAGCTAAATATCTGCTCCATTAATTTTAGTATGTCTTGATTTCTTGTGTTTAAATATGTAGTCTTAATTTTCTGTAACAGACTTAATTATATGCAGTTTCCTTTGCATGCACTTTTTGAAAGAAAGGTTAAATGGAGGAAAAGTAAACTGTTGATATTCATTAATGTTTGAAATATTGCAACAAGAGCTTAATGGTAAGCTTTCAAGTAAGAAGTACAAATTCCATTACAGTGAAATGGAAATTCAGCACCTAGCACACATGAATAATTCTGTAAATGTCACCCAAACTCACATTTTACTAATGTTAACTCAGTTTTTGGGAATCAAATCTCAGTAGTATGGAAAGGCTGGTGAAAGTGATAACTGCTTTTCTTCAGTGCCAGTGTATGTTTAAACACTGTTTCTTTTGATGGATCTGGTCAGCTCTACTGATTTTGTGGTTTCCTTGCTCTTGGCATAGCAGTCCTATAGGGACCACAGAAGCAGTTGCACAGACCATTCATAAGCCAAAACACTTTGATCCTGAGTAAATCTGAGAATTACTAATTTTTGCAGTGCCAAGCATTTTAGGTCATCTAAACACTGAGAGGAAAAAAACTAAGAAGGTAAGGGGAAGCATCAAGAGGGAGGAACTGTGCTTAGTTTGGAGATCATACCTGTGTGTCGGTGACATGTAGGGATTGCTTGAGCTGTGTGGTCATAGTTGTAGCAATGCTGATTGCTTAGCATTGCTTAGAATGGGCATGTTCTCACATTGATTTTAGAAGAAAATGGTACATATGCACATCTTATACTAGATCTGAATTCGGTTTCAAGAAGCTTTCATTTAACTGTAGTCTGAGTTTATATTACTTGACCAATAATTACAGTTCACAACCATCCTATGGCATAGCTGGTTTTGTACTGGTATTAAAGTGCTGAAAAAATTAATAGATCCTCCTATTTTCTTCACTCTTGGAAACACCATTTTAAAGTAGCATTTTCTCATCACATCCTTCCTTACTTGTATTTTACTATATGGAGATGGAACACTCTACAGCACAAGCAAGGAGGAGTTTCTATCTGGTCAGCTCCTGTTCTAAAAACAGTACTAGGGACAAGAAGAAGAGATTTGGCTTAGAGCCCAGGAACAAAGTGATAAGATCCCGTGCTAATTCGGAGAGCTTATGTTACCTGTCCTGCAGGTTATGTGGCACGTTATGTGCTGATGAACCAGATGACTATAATTTATAGTCTCTTGACAATGTGACAGTGTTATAAAAAGAATGGCAAGCATGTGTTACCCATTAGAAAGTCCATTAGGATGAGCTGGGAGATTCTGGTGACAGCAGAGATGTAAATGTAATTTTCAAAAGAGAAGAAGATTACTGTTGCACCCTAACATTGGCGTTTCATGAATGTAGTGATCCTCCTTAGATAGAGGAGAGATTTAGGGAGAGAGATTTTAAGGGGAGATTTAAGGGATAAATTCTTTACTGTGGTGGTGAGGCACTGGAACAGGTTGCCCAGAAAATTGTGGCTCCTTATCCCTGGAATTGTTCAAGGTCAGTTTGGATGGAGCCTTGGGCAACCTGATCTACTGGGAGGTGTTGGAATGGTCAGAACTAGACGGTCTTATGATCCTTTTCAACCCAAAACATTTTAAGAGTCTATGTTTTTAATATCTAGAAGATGTTTATTACCACAATGCTGTTACTAGTTTTGGTGTTGTTTTTTTTTAGAATCCCACTCAATGTGAGAGACATTGTCTACTGTACAGGAGTTTCACTGATGGATGAAGATGTATGGGAGTTCATCTGGATGAAATTTCATTCTACTACAGCAGTGTCTGAGAAGAAAATATTATTAGAAGCCTTAACATGCAGCGATGACAGGAACTTGCTCAATAGGTACAAATGTTATATATATTTCACCTATTGCTAATAATCATGTCAACATTTATGGATCATCACTTGAGCGTTGGTCTAAATGAAAGAACTTTACTTTTCAAGCACAGGGTTATTGTCTGTTTAAACTGCCTTATGTTTGTGCATTAATACATATGAAAATTGACACATATTACGTCTTTTTGCTTCCAGATATTCCTATGTTCATTGAAAATACTTGAAATCCTATTATAATTGCTGTTTTGTTTTGGTTTTTTGGTTAGCATATCCTTTATTTGAATGTTTTGACCAGTCTGATCTTACCAGTTTCATAAAAAATACACATATAAAATTCCACTCAGCTTTTTCTGAAATCCTTTTACATCAATATTTTTCTGATTTGCAAATGTGTCTGGTCTTTGAAATCATAGAAATAAACCACTGAGCTCACTTGGGTACTTAAAGAAGGCATTTAGTAATGATTTTGTGGGTTTTTTTTTGAGAGTTTTCTGATGGACTGGTTTTAGACTATGTGTTGGTGAAATTAAACAGGTTTTTTTTCCCTTGTTTCTCCCACTAGGCTTTTGAATTTGTCTCTCAACTCAGAAGTTGTCCTGGATCAGGATGCAATTGATGTAATAATCCACGTAGCTCGAAATCCACATGGAAGGGATCTTGCTTGGAAGTTTTTCAGAGAAAAATGGAAAATATTAAATGCAAGGTAAAGATAAAAAGACTAAATTTATTTGAATTTTCTTATTTTGATGTCATTCATGTAAGTATTTTATATGTATGTGTTCCTGTAAGTCCCTGAGTCTAGTCCATTGTCTTTTAATCCATAGAGATATATCTAAGTATGAAATACATACATATGGGTCATAAATGCATTTATTAATGGATTGTTGAACACATCCATATAGATATCTCTTAGCAAATCTGTATATATATCTATTACTGTATTGTGTCTGCACTTACAATAATGAATTCTATCTATATATCAAGTGCTGCAGTTCTACTTTTATGGAAGAAAAGCAGCAGATCCCAGAGGAATTTTGCTGATTTTGAGTTTGATAGGAAAAAAATCTTTGCAAGTGCATTATTTCAACTGTGGGAAAAAAAGGCCAAATACTTTTTGAAACATGTCAGTTTTCAAAAGGGTTCAAATATAGTATCATCCCCTTCCCTTCCACTCTGTGTTTCAGGAGAGTTTCAAGTAACAGAGGAGCAACAATTTGAATTAAAATAGATGAGCAGGAAGGAGACATGGTTGTTCCTTATAACTGCTTCCCTTTCTCTTTGAACAAGTGCGACATGCTCCCTACTCAGAAGCGCAAGTCAACATTTTAAAATCCTTTTTGATGAAGATTTTGATATTAATTCAGCGAATGACTGTCGTGGTCCCTTCTTTAGTTCTTTAAGGACTGAGGGTCTGAAAGATTTCACAGCACCTGATCTGATACTGACAGATTAGAAGGGACCACAACTTGGATGAGGTTCAAATTCTTAAAGGCAGGTGTCCAAGAACGCCAGGAACCTATGCCAGGCAACTCCCATGGTGTTGGCAGAAAAAGTATTGGATATTTGTTTAATTATGTGCTTGTGAGGAGACATCTAGTGTATCACAGAATATTTAAAATTGTATGTTTAAGATGCTGTACTTAAGTGGCCAAATTCTAGTGACGGATGTATAGGTACAAACTTACTATAGGTTTCACAGCATCTGAAGAGTAGTCAAGGTAACTCAGAGACTGTGCAACTTGCCTAAAGATGCAATAAGTCATTCATGCTCTTTTGGATAATACTTTATTATATAGTGGGATTTTAGAAGTTCAGCTGGCAAAATAGGTTTGAGCTGGAATTGGTTTTGGAAGTTTATATTGTAGGAGTATACTATTGAATCAATTTCCAAAAAGCTTTAAGAGTGCTGGAAAGTTTAAAAATTAAGAATCTTCTCCTCATATGATTATTCCAGGCACTAGACTTTCACACAGAAAGTGGATGGCAGACCCATTGCTATTATGCAACCCAGTGCAGTTATTTATGCACTGAATAGAAAATAATTTTTCAGGTTCCTCCAAGGATTTATGCTGAGCTTAGACATAAATCTGTCAAAATCTACAAACACATGTCTTTTCTTAGCAAGTACATTCATCTGACAACCTAGCCAACACCTGTGATTTTAGATGTGGTCAAGATTAAGCAGTGTAGACAAATGGACAAGATTTAGAAAACTATGCCACATGTCATTTTTTTTTGTGATTTAATTTTAAATAGCTTAACTTCACCTAAAATTTTAATTTAATTTATCTCACTTGTTTGGAATGCATCACTGTGTTATCTGAGTTCCTAACAATCAGAAAAGCCTCATCAAAAACCTATTATTGGGAAAATAACAGAGAGTCTGTCTTTTTGTTCAACCCTGACTTCATGTTACCTACACTCAGTTTGATCTCCAAGCAAAATTCATAACCACCAAAAGGACTGTAGCATTTGGATTTTTCTGAAAGGGACATCCTGTTGAGTTTATATCAATCACCAAAAAATTCAATTCAGTGGAATGAAACAGTTTATGCACATTGTACATATGTGATATATTTTGAAAATAACTTTATTTTGTAATTATATATGAAAACTTTTTGAGACTTTGAGAGGGTGAAATTAGTCTAACACCTTGCTGCTTAATGTTCAGTGAAAGAGTGACATGATAGAATGCAAAATTAGGCTTCTGATTTAAGCTTGCTACTACATTTTTATCATGGAATCATATCATGTCACAGAATGGTTTTGGTTGGAAGGGACCTTAAAGATCACCTAGTTCCAATGCCCCTGCCGTGGGCAGGGACACCTTCCATTAGACCAGGTTGCTCCAAGCCCTGTCCAACCTGGCCTTGAACACTGCCAGGGATGCGGCAGCCATAACTTCTCTGGGCAACCTGTGCCAGTGCTCACCACCCTCACTGTAAAGAATTTCTTCCTAATGTTCACTCTAAATCTACCCTCTTTCAAGTATAATCTGTCCTAAGGCATCTTTCTTCTATAATTTATTATTTAGTTTTGTTTTAAATTAATGTATTTTACAAAACATTAATTTAATAATGTGATATCTCAATGGTATTTTCTGTTGAATTTATTATAAAAGATGTTGAAGTTTGAGGTAGTAATGTGAAATAGCTGAGGGTGATTAAATTATAACACTATTTCTTCTGTCTTTAAAACACGACGTAAAAGAGTTACAATTACAACAAAATGTTGTTATCCCTTTATTCTCAAATGCTTAATCATTTGTCAGCATTTGGGAATCTGACAATATTTGTGAAGCCATTTACATCTGCCCAAAGTAAATGGGCTATGCTGCCTCTCACATTGAGTTAGAACAAGTGAAAACCCTGTATGAACATGAGGTGTTGGAGGTTCAGATTCCCAGAAGTAAAGGAACAAGTGGAGAGCCTGTGACTCCAGGATGTTTCCAAGGAGCTCAGGCACGTAAGGTCCTGGTTCAGCAGGTCTGTTTTCTTCCATGTAAACAATGGGAAGACATACTTGCAAGACCAGATAGTTTTTCTATTTATTCTTATGTTTCACACCTGCAAAATAGTAGCTTTGAAGGCGGCTTTTCTAGAATTTTTTCATTAAAGCTTGTTTAGAAATTGCTGTTAGTGGCTGGCTTTTTACCAAGCACATGTAGTGGGTAGTAATCAGCATCAGTATTCATTAAGGTATCATTTTCAGTGGAAGGAATTCTGCTACTTCTTATTTGCCCTGTGACTACAGTAGAGACTGAAAGTAAAATCCCTGCAGCTGTTTTTCTGAGGTCACTTCTGTAAAGTGGATTGGTAACGTTGTCAAAAGTCTTCATCAAGAGGAGCTTCCAGTTTTCCAAGCAGTCAATTGTGAGGCTAAGCTGAGACTGTAATAATAAAGGGCTTTGTTAGAAAGTCTAGTCATGCTTAAAAGACCATCCTTCAATGGTACGTTCAATCCATACTTCCCATAGGAAGTGTTTGCCTCTCAGTGTCTGTATATGTCAGTATGACTGAATTTTTGGAAAAAGAGATGCACTTGCTAAAATAGCCATGAATAATTTAGTTATTAGTTGTCAGGAAGTAAGATTGTAATACCTGTAACTGTTTCCCCTCACACAAGCTCAAGGTAGCAACCAACACAGTGTACATTTTCCCTAAAACAGAATCTTCTCAAAGAAAACACAGTTCTCTTAACTCTCCCTCTTTCTGTTCCCCTCCCTGGGGCTATCCCTCTCCCTTTCTCTTTCCTTCTCCCTTTTGAAAGGACTCTGGCTTACAGTACCTAAGCATTTAAGGGTAATTAATTTATGATTAATAGAAGCAGTACAAAACCTGTGACGGTGCTAGTTCATTTCACTTTGAATTTTGAATTCCTCCTCTAAATTGTTTTGTAAAAGTAGGTTATGAAGTGAATTGTTCCCCAATAAAAACTTAATTGCAGTGAAGTCTATTGGTATCACTTGCACATGTCTGACAGGTGAGCTGAATTCCCTATCTTAAAACCAGTCATGTTCAGATTAGCTAGATATTGCTTTGGATGTATGTACAGCTACATAGATAAGAATAACTATTTGTCAAGTGTCTTTTGCTATGCTGAATGATATCTAATTTGAATAAAAGACTTGCTTTCAGTTTCCAATGGAATTATATTGACTTTGGAAAACAAAACCAAACAAAACAAAAAAAAACCCAAACTATTCCAACATGAAATGTAAAAATTCAGAAGTCTTGTTAATCTTACAAGTAATGTAGATGCTTCATCTGAAGGGATTGGAAAAAACCTGTAGAAAAGTGAGTGGAACATCAGGATTTAAATGGCCAGTTTCAGAGCAACTACCTGCAGTTTTCTGATTGTTGCAGAATATCCTACACTTTAAATATTCCTTGACCAAGCTTTCAAATTTTAATTCCATGTTGGTTCTTTGAAGATGCTACACCATGGTGCAGGGGATTGTTTTAGCAGTTTTGTTCTCTGTCAGTATTATTTATTTTAATTATCAGGTACTGGAAAAAGAAAATTTGATCCAGTTCACTTATCGAGATGATATTTATAACGTAGATGAGGTGAATAAATACAAAGTGCGGAGAAGGCTGCAGCACTTCAAAAAGTCTGTTTTAATGGTACTTCTAGAAAGGCTTCTCAAAATAATTCTCCACAGTTGCTGCTCTGCTCCCTCTTTGGCTGCTGCATTTTGAGCTCCTGAGCATCATTACATGGAAAGCTTTTTCATTAAGCATGAGGTGATGGTGTGGTTTGGTCCTCTCCTCTGAAGCTGTCATTTGTGACTGTGGTTAAGCCAATTCTGCTTAGTAGCATCTGAGTAAAAGTTAAGTACAAATAGCTCAGCCTAGTCTCAGTCCAGGTTTTTAGCATGAAACACTGTAATACCAGTGACCAATTCCAGTAGTATTCCCTGGCATCCCCAGAATCAGTCCCATATCTTCTCCCTTGCTTACAGAAGACAATTTTCTAATTTTCAGGTGGCAGGGCACTTGCACTAACTCTGTGCATCTTCTTTTTGCCCTTACAGGTATGGAGAAGCATTATTTATGAATTCAAAGCTTGTCAGTGGGGTCACAGAATTCCTCAATACTGAAGAAGAACTAAGAGAGGTAATTTTTAAATTGCTTTCAGCACATGAGGCTGTATTTGTTGTAAGCATGAACCAGAGCAGGAGCTATAATGTCTCGGTTGTCTGGAAACTCTGGTTGCTCAGCTGGATTTGCAGACCCGTGCTACGGCTGGGCAGCATGAGGATGAGGAGCATATTGAAAAGGCATCTGAGTGTGTAGGTGGTGTCAGGAGGCGCAGGCACTTCTCTGTGCATGGCTGGATATGTAGGTTTGGGTTTTTCCTCTTGACTATTGGTTGAGAAACTAAAAATGAGATCTTCCTATTCAGATTATCTTACGCTAATGAAAAATGACTGCTACTGCTGAACTGGGACAGCTGCAGAGGACTGTCCTAGAAAACGCCAGTGTTGAAAGCAGAAACTGCCAGTGCCTATTCTGTTTTTCTTATGTCTGCAATATTTCCATATGAGAAAAACTGTTAAGCCAATATTCTGTGCAAATGACACCAAAATAATTTGTTATAAATGCTAAGTACTTCTTATTTAGACTGCAAAGGTTTCTCATTTTAGCCTAACACCTGCCTTGACTGAGGTAGTTGTGTGGTCGTGTTACACTCTGCTTAGCAGCTGCTCAATGTTACCTCAAATGGATCAAATTATTCTTATGCAGCATAATCACCATTAACAGAAATCTAATTGCACTATATTTTTTGTCCCACCCTTTGCCTGCACTCAAGTCTAGTGGCCTCAGAAACTTAAGGATGAGCCACAGCTAGTTTCCTCAAAGCTATGCAGGTGGGAAGGACAGTGTTGGCCAGATCTGAGTATCTCCCCTGTACCAGGAAGCCTTCTGTACTCTTTGTTTCCACCTCCATGATAGTATTGGTAGGCTGCCTGTTTATACTTTAGCTAAAAGAAACTGATGTTATAAAAATTTCAGGATAAAAAGTACAGAGATCAGGTAAATTCGAACCTCCAGGTCCCTCCCACGCTTTTAATGGTGATGGGAATGAGACAGTGGAAGGATTAGCTTTATCAGTTTTGAGCCCATGCACAAAGAGATGTTGTTGGAAGTTAGATTTAAATAAACAAGTTGAATTTGGTGTCACCAGGAAATAAAAGTTAACTAGTTACAAATAAGTGTTTCTAACCCCCCCTAATTTTATACAAGTCATAACCAGAACCTACTGTGCAGATTCTCACTTTAAAAGAACAGTAATTCAAAGCACACCAGTGCTATTAGTGGTAATAATCCAGGTGATAGTTCTATAATTTGCAGATACACAAGAACAGAGCAGGAGTCTTTTCAGTCTGCTGAAAAAAGATCAAAGTTTTCTCATAAGGGAAGGAATCTGTTTCAGGCATTCAAAGATCATCAAATGAGTGCCCACTTGCTATTTTGCCATTCTCCGCACGCTGTAACCATCCATTCCTTTTCTAAACAACTGAGCTGTATTATATCATCAAAAGGGTTCTTCAAATCGAAATAAATTTGTTGTGAAGCTTAATAAAACCAAAGGGCATCAGGGATGCCTTCTGTTAAAGAAACTTGCATAGAAACTTGAATTAGAAACATTTCCAGCGCTCCCAGTTTGGTTTCTTATGTAGAAATAAAAGTCTGGAGCAGCTGGGCTGCAGGAGAGAAGGAGGGAATGATATTAATGTGATCTTCACTGACATGTCAATATCTTCCAGTGGATGTGAAGCAATTGCATCACATCTAATTGACAGTCTGCTGCCTTATTATATTTCCTATTAAGTCTTTCTACATGATACTGCATTTACTTCAACAGTGATGGTGGAGCTTTGTCCTAAATGCCTGACTTGTTTGTGTGCAGTGGAAATATTTACTTTCTTTAGTTCCTGCAGATTTAACCTGTTAACTTGTATTTCCAGCTAAAGAACTTTATAAAGAGTTACGAAGGAGGAGCTGCTGTCTCTTTCTCTCGTGCCGTGGAAACAGTGGAAGCCAATGTGCGGTGGAAAAAGCTTTACAAAGAAGAACTATTCCAGTGGCTAAGAAAATCCTTGACGCATTAATCTGTCTTTCCAGCCAAGCATTTAACAAGAAGCTCTGCAAGAGGAAACATTTTAGAAGTGTTCAACATTAAAATCATGAAGACAAGATCAGATTGCAGGAATAAGGTTTTTTTTTTCCTTTGTTTTCTAATTGTGGGATTTGTTTTTGTTTGTTTTTTTTTTTTTACACTGGGCTTTTGTGAAATTGTCAAGAAGCTTTTCAGAAGAGGAGATCATGAATGCTTGTGAAATCCAGTCCTCAGTGTACAAAACCAAACATGATATTAAGTGGTGCATGTAAATGTTGAAGAAAAACAAACAAAAACCCCTTCAATGACTATTTTGTGCATGCTTGTACCGTCCCTGCCTGTATTCTAGCATGCCTATGTAAAACAGCCACATTTTGTATGTGAGTTCCAGTTACATCAAAGATGGGCATTATACAAAGCACAAAGACTATCTACGACAATCAGTGTTGCAGTGAACAAAATGAAAACCAGTGATCAAAAGGAAAACAAGAAAAAGGAAATGTAGAAGGCTTCCAACTTGGGGCAGTATGAGATGTAAAGTCAACTTTTCGGCTAGCTGCCAATTAGTCTACCACTCAGTTTGTCTCTTAGTTACAAAGATGCCACCAATTGTATCTGCAGTCTTCATATACCCATATTTAAATAAGGAGAATATATACAGAGAGGAGAAAGATAAAAGGGCATGGAGGCAGGGGGAGAGAGAAAACAAGAAGGACATCATCCATACATTATAATTATATGCATTTATTCACTGCTGATCAGTGGAACAGTGTAGTTCTAGCTGTGAACGTATGCAGTGTTGGAGGGTAACTTCAGATTGATTTCACAGAATACATGAACCACCTCTTCTCAACTATTTTAGAAGGCAGTGATATTTTCAATGGGTCACCCAACCTGTCCAGTACTAAGTTATGCAGGTGACTGTGCACAAGTATTATAGATAAACTTAAGATTCATATGGAAATTAACAAAAAGGGAAAATATCTTGCATGCAAAGACATTACTCAAGGTTGTCTTGCATGTGGTAGACCAGCCTCTGTATCGATTTATTATGATAGGTCAGATTCTCTATGTGGGCAATACTTTTGAAAATATGGGATATGGCATTCATGCTAATTTAGAAAAGTGGAATATGGAGAAAGAAAGTGTGTGTGTGCATGTAGGGGGTGTTTATTCATATGGGCTAATACCACAAACACTGTTTTCTTTCTGTTTTCTTGTGTTTTACATAGACTGCTGTAGATGAATGATGTTTGTTTCCTTTTTCTCAATCCTTAATCTGAAAGATCAGTGACACATTGATCATCTGTGTACTACACAGGTAGTACAACTACCTGCACCATTGGTGCTAAGTGTTGAGGATAAAACTGATGGGCAACAAATCCTCTCTCGTCTACACTGTCCACAGTCAGGAGTCAGACTGCAGCAGCTTCAGCGGGTGAATGTAGATGTATAATAATGTTTCTTTATCCCACCCCACCCCATGTGACCACACCATGGCCCTGTACATTGGAAGCATGGCCAGCTGGAGTAGAGGGAAGCCATTTTATCTGGTTGTTTCCTTCACGAGTTATAGAACTTACCAATATGATTTACACTTGGAGTTTCTTGTTCCCAGTAAATTGTGAATTCAAACATTAGTGCAAAAGGAACCAAATCCAAGCATCTTCAGATATTATCAGAGTTGTGTGCAGGCAGTATTGTTTTCTGGGCTATCATTCCCATGGCACCCTGCTCTTCAAGAACTGGTAAACACATCCCATAGCTAAGTTGTACCTATCTTCAGCCTGTCATTTTGTGTCTTTTACCAAGCAGAGGGTACTGTTTGTGGATTGAGTGCATGAAATCCTTGTGTGGCCATGTGCTCCAATGTTTGGTGCTATGTAGCACTGCATGTTAGCTTGACCACATGTAACCAAAAGAAGAGGGAATCCTGTGCTCTTGTACTGTTAATTCTTTGCCTTATAGTAAACCCTAAACCTTTGTGCTATGTTGCAACGCTAGTGAACCTAATGCCCAGAGACATTATCATGTCCAAGTCAAGTGAAATCCTTCTCCTCCTATGTATTTTACCTACCTCACAGGGGTGTTGTGAGGCTTGACTAATGTTAGCAAAGCACTTGAATATCCTCTAATGAAATACATTTAAAAGTGCAAAGTATTATTTTATGTGGTTGACCAAACTCAACCTCAATGCCAGTATGTAGCGTCACATTTTTAATTTCTACTGGACAATATCACATGCAGATTTGATATAATAAAAAAGTAAGCCAGATATTATTTAATATAACCTTTACCCCGTAATGAAGGCCAAAACTGTGATATCCAAAGAGTGTGCAGAAAACCAAGCCCTCAAATGTGAATTGCTTTGAGGATTTCAGAGAAGAGTGTGCGTAATGATCTGTCACTTCGCAATTTTATTCAAGATTGTCTTTGATGACTTTTCTTTTTTAGCACCACAGATTAAACCACATACCTCCAGGATGTGCATAAAAGTTTCTGGTCTTTCCATTGATAAAGGGCAGGCCAACAGTATGTTCCAAAGTCAAAAGTTTATTTCAGCCTATATATTCTGCACAGAGCACAGAAGATTCCACTGTTGCTCATTTGAATTGAAGTTCTTGCACATTTAGCTGGTGTTGGATGTAAATTAATGTTTTAGTGGCCTTGAGCAACTGGTCTAGCACAGATATCAAGCCCTAAATGTATCTATTATACATACCTATTGATGTACTGCTTATAATTGTTCTAATAATGTTTCAGAATTATTTAGAACACTATTACTGCTACAGTGAAGGTTACGCTGGCCTTTCCATTATAATTTCCTAGTCTTTTATTTTTTATATTTTGTGTTTTGCTGTTTCACAGTGAATCAGGATTAAATTTAAATGGATTAAATCCAATGAAATTATAGCTGTTTTTTACAATATTCAACTCCTCCCCCGCAACCCCTCCATTTATTTATATGTCTTTAGAAGCTATTTTTAATAAGAAGTTCCACACAGCTGTGTGTTAAAGAATAGTTGATACCTCATGGAAAACTCTAATACAGTCTGCTTAGAAAAATCTATTTATTTCATTGATTTTCTTTCTCCTTTACCAGTCTTTTTCTTCCTTTATCCTTATATAAAAATGGACCCCATTTTTGTAACTTGGATTGTGATTAGGAAGCCAATAGCCCAAACTTGTCAGTATTTTCAAATCTGGGGTTTAATTTTGTCCTTTATAATGAGAAGAGATGATGCAAAATGTGGATCCAGTGCGAATGTGACCTCACCCAGGGCCGGTGTGCCATTTTGTAGAGATTTGATGAGATCTGTGTCTCCAATCAGCCTTTGTATGACTCAGGGTCCATTGCAGTTAATTGATACAGCTTACTAAATCATACAGGAAGATATATGAATAGTTATGTTTTTATGCCAGCATAACAATATAGCTGTTGCAAAAAATACCTATTGTAGTTTTATAACATTTTCCACTTCAAAAATCTCAGTCTATTACTTTGTAGCTGGTGGAATTATTCATGTATCCACTGCTAATAGCTATTAAAATGATATTAGGTATTAATTGTGACTAGGGCAGAACAATGTAAAAACATTTTTCTGAAATGAAATGTCACTTCTGCTATTACTGGGAGTATCTGGACATTGATTTTGATGAAAAGAACTTCATGTGTCCTCAGGTACATCCAAATTTGTGACCTTTGATGATCTTTTCAGTTAATATAGCAAGAATTCCAATACTATGTTGGAAACTGAAGATGAATTTTATGTAGCTCTTGGGCTGTTGTGGATATTTCACTGAGCTTTAGAGTGTCAAAAGAAATATCTCCACTGATGCAGAAGGGTGCTTTCACAACAAAGATCCTGAACCATGCAATTAAATCCTTAGTAGTAAAGAATAAAAGATTGTCGTGGTTGAAAATTATATATATATTAATGTGAAAAATCCTCCGTAGAGCTAATTTTCCCGTAAAATGTCAGTAAGCCTCATTATATGGATAGAATAAATTGAAGCCAATATTTGCTGTTGAGGGTGCCTTTGTTCAGATACCTGCATAATAAGGCTTTGGTTTTCCATATGATCATGAATGATGTAAATGAAAACAAACTTTGAGTCAAATGTGCAACTTTCTGTTTGAGGGAAAAGGATGTGGCTTTGAAAACTGTTGGTATATATAATCAACTTACCACTCCTGTCATGAGTATTCCCCGTATTAGGCTGCCTGTCTTAAGCAGGGTTTATAGCCACAGTGTCAGAATCAGCAAGAAGGAATAAAAGGACCATCCTGCTTCTAAGCAGCCTGAATAGAGGCTGTTTGCCCAGTTTTGGATGGGCAATCCAAAAACTGCTGGCTGGATCATCCACTGCTGTCACTATCCCACCCAGGTCAGGAAGGCAGTTGAGAACCACTGAAGTGCAGAGGCTCCATCCATATTTCTCTCAGATAGATAGGAGGAACAGAAGGTCCCTTTGCTGGTTATAGGTTATGGTTCAGAGATTAGTGTCATTGCCTTGTGATAGCAGGAAACAAAGGTCCTGCTAGTGAGTGTGCGTTGCTCAGAAACACCTACATCCCTGAGCTCTGGTCACTCTAATGGGAAGAAGTTGACTAAAATATTTGTAAGAGACATGTGTAATGTCCCTTCTTCAGAAGTAATTTCAAACAGTCAAATATTTAGTTTTTCAGGTATGCATAAGAACACAGAATATCTTTTCCTTTAGAATATTTTTGTTAATATTGAAAATGTGCCATGAATTTCTTGGACATTTTCCTAACAAATGGTTTAGAAGGATGTCAGTGCAAACTGTTTGTGGTAATAATAGTATTAACAGTAGTTACTGTACTAATACCATCAAAAAAATCAGATGCCCATGCAAACCTGTATGGCACTAGTGACAGTTCCCTCTTTGTATATAAAACTGTAAAATAATTGGCCACTGTGTTTCTCATATGACTCTGGAAGCTTCTGTCTGTCTTAAAACTAATACTGAAACCCACTGAAACTGCTCTGACTTGAGCAAAAATCATACAATCAGGGAATGGTTAGAGTTGGAAAGGGCCTTAAATCATCTAGTTCCAACCCCCTGCCATGGGCAGGAAGTCCATGCTGACATGAATAATTTAGTTTTTAATGAGAGGGAAAGGGAGAAAGGGATTGCTGTGTGTGAAGATTTTTCACCAAAGTAAAGCTACGTGCCCTAGTTGGAGTAGAATTTTAAAATCACATATATTTTGAAGAATCTGGTTAAAATTTGTTCCATGTTGTGTCCATGCTGACAGTGGAGAGTAGATTGACCTCAGAGTATCCCAACATGTTAATACAATTGAAGTCAGATTCTGTAAAAGATGTATGGAACTGGTTCCATTGAGCTGTGTCAAGGAGGATCACCAACATAAGCAAGTGGTGTGAGTCAGACCAAATGTCCTTTCTCAGAAAAAATGACTTTCTATTTGGCTGATTTGTAACTAGTGAATTAAGTGTGACGTTGCCAAACAGTATTTCTAATTGCCTTGCTTATTTTACATGCACCATTTCCTAAGGATGTAAAAGTGGTGTTAGTAGAGAACACAGAAGTGAGCAAAGAGGACTGTGTTGCATCAGGCAGTAGCAAGCCAGGAGGCTTTAGCCACAGTGTACCAATGTTTCCTGGATAGCATCACTTGGGTTTGCCTGATCAAGGATAGCCTCGGTAAAGCAGATAAGGCCAAGAGCCAAGATGCAGTCTCAGTTCTCTGCCATACATTTTGGTCCACTTAATATGTTCATTTCTGTAATTTATTAATTACAGAAATATTTAATAATAATCAATATGTAATAACCTGTAGCCAAACTGACGACACTGCAGATCCTCCGGTGAGGTAGATCCATTGAAGTGACTGATGTGACTTGCAGCTGAGGATCTAACCCATTGCTTTCAGAACAGCCCCCAGAACAGCTGGGCTATTGTACAGGCTGTTTTACGTATTTGTATCTAGGTTTCAGTAGCATGTATTGGATAACAAATGTTTTTTTTTTTCCATTTGTTTTTTGTTAGAGTAATATTTTGTGACCTGTTCCAATGTGATAGAGCTTTATAACATGTTTGGAGAACTGCGGAATACTTTACTGTGAAGAGTGTGGTTGCTACCCTCTCTTTTTCTTGTGAACAGTAGATTTCATCAGAGATGGACTTCCCTGGACTTAGATGCTCTGTGAAAAAAATTCTGACAGTTTCTAATAGAAACATCATTGTAATTAATGTATAACTACCCTGTACAAAGACAGCTTTATTATATGTGTAAATGTAATTTTGCTATGTTGTTTTATGTTTGAGGGACAATAGGCTTTGGTGTGAGTGAGACATATAGACATAAAACCAGAGATTGTAGCTCTCTGTCTGA